ATATATATATACTATATATATATATATATAGTAGTATATATATATATATATATATATATATATATATATATATATATATATATATATATATATATATATATATATATATATATATATATTATATTATATATATCTCATTCTACATTGCTTGCTTATTCCCACTACAGTCCTCCAAACCGAACGTCAACTTCTCTGGCGGGTGGTCTAGTTTCTCTGATCTCAAAGAGGTTAGCGAATTGGCCCACACAGGCACTCGAGGTATGTTCATTGGTACGACAGTGATTACATCCGCGTCCTGTGCTGTTGAAGGCAGCTACATATGTATATCATTATACTCCATGGTATTCATATATGTGTATGTGCTTGAATGGGTAATTTCGTCAGACATATACGGATATTTATACTAATAATCATACTAGCGAGATGTATACTGGTATATAAACTAATACTAACGCTAGTGAGATGCATACTGATATATAAACTAATACTTATATACTGATATATAAACTAATACTTATGTATAAACTAATACTTGTACACTGATATACAAACTAATACTTATATACAAACTAATACTTGTACACTGATATACAATCTAATTCTTATATACAAACTAATTCTTATATACAAACTAATTCTCATATGCAAACTATTGCTTATATACTAATATACAAACTAATACTTCAATACTGATATATAAACTAATGCTTATATACAAACTTATATACTAATATATAAACTAATACTTATATATAAACTAATACTAATCCTCGCGAGATTCAAACTAATGCCATCCTATATGCCATTACTATCCGACAGACAACGACATGGACCCTGAGGATGCCGAGATGAACACAGACACCATATACGGTACCACTATCCTTCATTTGCATAGCTGCCATCCACATACATAACATGAAGGTCGATGTCTATGTACTTGTCCTGGTGCACTTAGATGGTCTAGATGTTAATGTTCTGGTGTGATCGGGCTGTCTATATGTTGTTGCAGTATGTTCGTATTGGCATGCTTTGCTGCTCTGTGTGCATACAGCTATTCCCGGATGTTGCTAGTCTCGGAACGAAGCTTCACTATGTGAATGGTGGCATGTGTATTGGGAATATATATATTTATATATATATATAATTATTTTTATAATTATAACAAGACAACATTTGAACCCCAAGTATGTTGCGAATCCATTGGCACTTGTCATGCACCTCACTCGGGTAGTGTTAGTGAGTTCTGACGTAGAGTCCGATGTAGAGTCTGGTACTCCCACACACTCTCACTTGTACCGACATGACAATGAGTACCAGCTGATTTATTGTCGGATTGTCGTACGGAATCTGGACTTGTTCCGAACTGACTTCCCATTTTTCCGCTGCTCTCAGAGGAAATGACCCGGCCCAGAGGCACTACCGACCCGAATGTGATCACACTGTCCATCGCCGAATCCGACATGGACATCTCAGACGCCCACGAGAAATCCGACAAACCCGACAGCCCTCCCCCAGGCCGTAGCCTGAAGGGTATGTCAAGCTAAACGCCACTGTACACGGAATAGGGAACTAGTTTAGTCATAGATACCTAAAACCCTAAACCTTAAACGCCATTGTACACGGAATAGGGAACTGGTTTAGTTATAGATACACTCTCGGAAGGGCGCATTTTGGGGGGGGGGATAGTTGATATATGAATGATTCCTGAAGTCCAAAGCACAGTCTCAGGAGCGTGTAGTCGGTGTAAGGCACAGGCTGGGTTTTAGGGTTTGAGGTTGTTCAAGTAGGGTTGCGACGGACACCACAGCACACTCGTATTAAGATGTAAGACGACCTAGTAAGATATAGGTGACGTACCAGGATATCGATGACATGGTATAGTATAATGACTAGATGATGTATTAAGACATAGCTGACGTATCAACATATCGATGACGTAGTATAATACAATACTGGATGACGTAATATCATATCGATGACGTATCAACATATCGATGACGCATGGTAATCATCCGTCCTGGTAGGGCAGAGGTGCACCCCCAAGCCCTGGCCCGTCAACTGACTGGGCGTACCTGTATTCTTCCCAACTTGATTTCATGTCCTGTACAGACACAGCTGAGTTCCCGCCTTAGCTCTGTCCTCATCTCATCGCACCAATGCTCAGCACATAGCAGTACACCCACTTACACCTTGTCTGTATGTGACTGATATGGTGTGGGACATATTTGGCCCTTTTATTGACTCTCCCATACAATCACCGCAACGACCAGACGGCACCATGAGCCGAATTCCAGTCCCAATCACCCAGGTGAGTACGGCAGCAGATCATACTGCAAGCCATTCCGAGTCTTTTGGCCCTCCTGTTTTGGACAGTACCGGTCCGAATCCAGTCGGCGATGGACAGGGCGATGCGATGGCTGCCCTGTTTGGTATGTAGACGTACGTGGGTGATGCGTGTGGCATTGTGCTGAGCCCGTAGTGTGGACAGTTCATCTGTTAGGTTGTGCGCGGTAGCCTAAAACCCTAAAACCCTGAGTGTAATGTTGGTGTGTCAGTGTACGTGGGTGGCCTGTGGTGTCCAGGATTTTTGAAGTTTTTGGGTTTTAAATCGGGGACGTAGCTATGTGTGTGTGATGGTCACATGAGCAGAGTGTACGTTGTGGGAAGAAGCTGTTTGGGTTGAGTGTAGCAGTGAACTCGGTGTGGTGGGCGGAGAGGAGCTGACGCATATGAACTGCGGATAGGAAGTTTTGGCATGCTGTTTTTGGTATAGATGTAGGTGTATTTTTTAGTAGGGTTAACATGCAGTTCTTAGTATATACATGTATATGTATATGTGTAGATATATGTATATGTATTATATATGCATATGTATATGTATATGGACATGTATATATATATATGTGTGTGTGTGTGTGTGTGTATGTGTATGTGTGTGTGTGCATGTATATATGGATGGATGATATTGACCGGCTGTCATACATCGATTTGTGTTACTAAATATACAGAGATTGACACACCGAGTACCGCTCGTTATATAAGATACTATACAAAACATTTGTTACGATTTCTGATCTTAAAAACGAGATGCTATAACCAATAGTACCATATGAGTGCTCAATCTGTATATTAGCTCCCACAACCGGTGGATGTCATATAGAGTGTGTGTATATATACATACGCGCATGTATATCTTTCTGTAAGAATGCTCCAGCTTTATATTCGCACCCACAACCGGTGCGATTTATACCTAAATATATATAAATGTGTGTGTGTGTGTGTGTGTGTGTGTGCATATTCACATACATACGTATCTAGTTCCTATCACTCATGGTCGGGTGCGCTTCCGCTCTATCCGCTTACATAACAGAGGGAGACAATTTGAGTGATGTGGATATGGAGGAAACCGTTGCCCTTCCTATTCGAGTGGAGACTTTTCCCGCCAATTTTAACCGACAGCCAAGCACATCATACCAAGATGGCAGAGCTACAGAGGTGCCTGAGAACGACACCTGCAATCTGGCAGAGGAGATGGAATTAACCAAGTGCTTGCCGTCACTACTACCACAACGTATGTAGTTATACGTGCATGCATATATACATTTATATATATTATACTATAATATATATATATATATATATATATAGAGTAGATATATACATATATATATTATATATATATATATATTATATATAAATATATATATATATGAATATGTATGTGTTTGTTTGTGTGTTTGTGTTTGTGTTTGTGAATGTGCATGTATACATGTATATCCTAAAGGTGTGCGGGCTGTTTGGTGACCCATTGCTGTGAGGAGTAAGTGCTATTCATGAGCCATCTTGACTCAGGAAACAACTTACTAGTACTGTGCTGGCTGCTTTTATCTTCTTATTTAAGTATCTCGTTATTCGTACAACTGCTATGGATCTGCGACTCTTATTCCCATTCATTGGTCGGCTATTGCTTGTACTGCTTGTACAGTTTCTAAAGTGGTAGTAGAAATTAGCTTTGGCCACAAATTGAAGTCTCGGGGTTCACTTGTATTAAAGCTGTACAATATTGAGTATTGTCCGCTTGTTATTAGGACACATAAGCTAAAGTACATACGTATATGTCAATGCATACTCAATTCATATCATGAAAGTACTACTTGAAGCTGTAGACTATTCGGTATTGTCGCTTGCTATTACTATGACTATACTTAAAAAAGCTGTATAGTATTCAAGATTGTCCGCTTTTTATTAGGATAAGTACGCAAGTCCGATATTTAGGGCTACCGGTGCACCTGTTGTATCTGACCTGGTGCCTGCTTCGCCACACAGACACATCCACCTCAAAACCCAACTTTCCCGAATTCCAACGAGCCCCGATTCCCGCACCGAATTCAGTCAGCCACCAAAACCCCAATGCCAATTCCGGTGCAGATTATGCGACCACCACCACAGGCGCAAGCATCCAAAACCCGGTGCAGGACTCGAACGCACCCGCAAGTTCGGTACCGGTCCCGCTTTCGGTCCCGGAATTCACCACCGCTCCGACGGCTCGGGCAATGGCAGGTAGCGAAGATCCGTACGACCACCATGTACTGAATGATAGCTTTGAAGAGGACTTTGGGGATGGACGGGCGGACGCAACTGTGCGGATGGATATGACGGAGTTGGTAGGTAGGGGTATACTGCAGGCAAATGGGTTGCTAGCCAATGAGATTGCAGAGAATAGCAGCTCACGGTCCAATGAGAACGGGGCTATGGCGTCGGGAGACCAGCTGACAGCCAATGAAAACACAGAGTTCATGGATTTTACGGAGGTGGTTGGTGGCGTGTTGTCAGCGTCTGGGGAGACGGGCAGTACCAATGCAAACACCGGTACAAACAGGAATATAAGCACAAAAAAGGTACATGTCGGCCCTAATTTGGGTGAACAGGACAGCCATATCGCACCCCGTGGTAGGAATAAAGTGGACGAGAGATCTGTCAACACACAGGTGGATATGGACACTGACACGACAAACACTATGCGCATGGATATGACTGAGGCAGTAGGGGGCATTCTGCATGCACTCCCGGCATCAGGAGACCATGCTGACAGGTCGGAACTTCAGCACAAACAGGCCACCGGAGATACAGGTATGCAATATATAGATATGTTATTATTATTATTATTATTATTATTATTATTATTATATTACTATATATATTATTTTATTATTATTATTATTATTATTATTATTATATTACTATATATATTATTAATATTATTTTATTTTTATTATATATATATATATATTATTATTATTATTATTATTATTATTATTTATTATTATATATATACATATATATATATATATATATATTATATTCTTATATATTCTTATATATATATATATATTGGCCCGCGAGTGCACGGATCATAGTTCGATGTATAATAAGACCGGGCATCCTCGGTTGTTGAACAGCTACACGTCGCCGATATACTCACACGTACATGTCACACATCACTTTGCTTTGCATACCTAAACAGAGCCACAGTCAACCGACACCGATCGTATGGATATGACCGAAGCGGTGGGCCGTATACTGAATGCCGACGAAGGTACTATAAAGATACCGAACTTCTTTCTCCCGGTATTGGTATCAGATGACGTATCGGAATCATCCGGGAGACGTGATACGAGCTCACCACCTGGTAGTAAGCGAAGCTCCCCACGAGCCAATGAGAAGACCAATGAGAATGCAGAGAATGAGCGCGAGGATGTTGTCGCCAAAAGGCCGCGGCGGGAGAGCGAGCAGTTGGTCAGCACTCTGAACGACCTCAGCGTCCAACCCAGCGGCAGTGGAGGCGTTGCCATGGTTACGAACCAGCAGTTGGGTCGCCCCGACAATAGCGATAGGAATGGGACTACGAGCTCAAGACCGAGCGAAGTGGCTCGCACAGATACGCACCCCAACCCAGCCAATGGGACCGAACCGGGGCAGGACACAGATAGGGTGGTGCTGCACACGGATGTGGCCAACACCCACACCCACACACCTGCACCTGCGCACTCGGGACAGGACTTGTCCTCGCACCACGGCGACGGCGAGCCCACCGAGGTCACCACACACTCCCACACCCAGAATCTGACCCACACGCACACACACAACCTCACCACAGCCAGTACAACGGGCATGCTGGACGTGTCCTCTATCTCCCACAGCCCCACAACCGCCCGGTCACTGAACACCACCCGCGTGTTGGCGGCGACCCAGGCCGGTCTATTAATAGCACAATCGTCCGTTGCCATGGCGACGGCCGAGCCGCCGATCGAGGCCACCAGCACGGATCAGGACCAGAATACACTCGTTGCCATGGCAACGCGGCGCGGGGGCTCGCGCTTGAGTGTGTCACGCGCGCCTACCCCTGTGAAGGATTTGGGACCCCCCCACTGTGAATCCAATCAGTGTACACGACTTCCTGTCTCTCTCACAGACCCATTTCATGGACAATTTGGTAACTCGAAGGTGTGTATGAGTGTATGGCGATACTGGTAGCGATTGTTTTTTGAGTACGTATATATATTTATATATATATATATATATGTGTGTGTGTGTGTGTGTGTGTGTGTGTTTTGTAATTGTAATTGTATATGTTATATGTTTATATATATAT